GGCCTCCCCACAATCGCTGTCTTTCGGGAGCTCATTTATGCCCCTAAGAGGATAATGACAGCCTGGAGCAATCGCTCCGCAGGAATGAAGTTTGAGGCCCTTCCACTGCAGCCAGCTGGAGAGTGTGACGGCTCTGATCTTGGTCCTGGAAACAAAAAGCCAACTAGTGGGTTTGGGAAGGTCTGAGCTCATTCTCAGAAAGAACACAATCTGAATAAGCAAATAAAAAAACAAAACAAAACAACAACACACAAAAAACGATGAGTTGACTGATCCCTAATTGTCCAAACAATTTGCGTATTCATCATCAAATAGACTCAGAGGTCATGGCCATTGCTACAGCCTCTTTCATAAGGAAAATAAGTCACCATGTGATAAACTTTTACAGTTTCAAGCACATTCACATAGGTCATAGTTATTAGTGCTCCCCAAAACTCTCACTGTAGTTCAGTCTTAGCCAGTGAAACTAATAGCAGTTAAGATAATGCATGCTTAAGCAATGGAGGCTCTGTTGTACCCATGTGGTTAGATTTGTTACCTGCTTATCATATCACTGTTCTATGACACAGGCAAGAAATTTAGTCAGATAAAACATGTCCCCTATCCTTGAAATGTTTACAGTCCACCAGGAAAAAAAGACTGCATGGTATTTTGAATACTATGTTATATGAAACTTGCCCTGACACACAGTACTTCCTTAGTCACTGTCCTAGGATATTCATTGCTCACACAGTACTTCCTTAGTCACTGTCCTAGGATATGCATTGCTCACCGGTGCGTGTGTGTGTGTGTGTGTGTGTGTGTGTGTGTGTATCTTTGGGCAAGGGCTTTCATAGAGTGTGATGCCGGAGTTGAGTATTTAAAAATAATTAAAAATAGGTGAATAAAGAAGAGAGAGACAGGACATGCAGTTGACAATCTTATTCAAAAATAAATATAATAAATGCAAAATTATGTGCAGGTATGGAGGGGAAAAGCATACTTTTTTTTTAACTAGAAAAGCATAAAGGAACAGAGGTTCAGAATGAAACTGGAGAAGATGGAAGAGGTAGGATCACCAGTGGTGTCATCATTTTATCAGGGATGGCAGATCTTGTTCAACACAAACAGACTGTTTATCATAGATGGCCTCCTCACAATTTAAAAGGAGAATGTATTTCGGTGAAGAAAGACTCTTCACAAACCCATAGAAAAATTTCTTATTAAAAGTACTGCAGGAGATAGGAAAGAACTCCCAGGTCTCAAAAATATATATTTGACAAAAAATAATTTAATTACATGTATTTTCACAGGTAAAAAACAGCCCAGTTACAACAAAGTACAACATGAATTGTTTATCAGTTATTGCCTGCTTTTAAGCTTTGTCTGAAATCTTTAAAGCTAGTTTCATAGAGGAGTTCAGATAGGAGAGGCTGCTAGGTTGTCCTTGAGGAAAGGAGGATGAAAAATGCTTCAGGAAGCAGAATGGAATGTACATGTGGAGTGCAAAAATAGAAAATAGACTATTGTTTGAGAAAACAAGAAAGTCAGTACAGCTGGAAAGATGGGCAGCAGATAATTGCCAACTGTGTTATGTTGTTAATGCAAACAGTACCCTGTCTTTTCATTAATAAAAACAAGATTGTTAGCCTTTCTGTGAGATCGTCATTGGTTTCTTCAAGGTCTCATGCAAATACTATGAAAGATATTTTTAGCAGTGATCCTTGGAGCTGAAATTACTTGCACTTGGAAACAGAGAGAGATAAGGAGAGAAATTTAAAAGTAACAATAAAGGCAATCCCAGAGTTAATTGATAGTAAACTCTAAGACAGTTGAAGATTGTCTCAAAACATTGGAAATAGGAATAGGCAAATGTTAGACAAATATATTTCTTCAAATTCCCTTGTCTCAAACTGACAGTTTCTCCACTGTGAAGACAACGTTTACACGCAAAGCCAGAGGTCATCCTGAAGATCTGTGCCTTGAACTATGCCTATTCAACTTGATATATGCATTCTCACTTAGGGTGTACATTAGGATCAGTATCAATAGCTGAATGGAGGAACTGAAATGACCCTGACTCTGACTGAAAGGTTTGAGTTTAGTTTCTCTTGAGGAATTGTTTTGCTAGAAGTCTGTTTTTCTGGCATTTCACTTAAGGTAGCATGGTGATCATCAGAGAATTATCAGATATGAATACTGGCTAAAAAGTTTTCTATGTAAATAATGTGATTTAACTGTTTATGGCATATAAAAACTAGTTTATTTGGAGGGAAGATTCATGAAAGAATAAACACATAATTTTCTCTTTCTCTTAGCTTCCTGCTTAGATCAATGCATAAAAGAATGTAGTTTTAATATCTGTTCGGTACCTTAGTATATTTGATATCTGTATGTTTGGAAGCAAGTGTTGTAAGCCTTTGGGACTTTAAAAATGAAAAGAAAAAATATTAAATTATAAGTAACATATCCAGCAATATAATTATTATTGCTAGTGATAATAACAGTAAGAGATGATACAATAACAAATGAATATATATATTTTTTCAATTTATACATCGATAAAGTCACTTGAGTGAATTAAAACCTGGTATTCTCTACAGAACAGTGCATTATCCTCTACACACACATAATTATAAAATAAGTCATTGTCAGAAATTATAAAATGTAGTATTCTACCTTCTATGATGCAATGAAACATTAAAAGGCAACTTAGGGAGTAGATAATATTTTAAGTCACTGAGTCATAAATAATTTGTAAATCAGTCCTTTTGATGAACATATTTCCTGATCAGAGAAATGCTGTATAAATTTTGATCATTGTATATTTTTTCCATCTGTACTTCTTTCAAGTTCAAGTCTGGAGATCTTGAGCTTGTTGCTTTTCCCCCATTAAATTGCATGAGCCCTATCTCAAAGTCTGAACCATGCTTATGTTATATAACACCCAAGGGGAAACTTGTTTCCTGCAGGGATTCAGTTTAAAAGATGCCTTTTCCACATAAAGATCTTTAATATTTCTGAATATGCACTTTTTTTCTGAATGCTAAAATGTGCTTTTCATTACTGTGTAATGGTACAGTTTTTGCTTGGGCATCTGTAATCCGAAGCTTTCCCCAGCAGGATCACTTCACAGTCTTTCAAAGGAAGCTGAAAGAGCAACACTTAGGAGGCACCGTGCACCGAGCTCAAGTTCAACTGAGGCAGGAACAGGGATGTGGGCTCAGATCAGAATCACATCCATCAACACAGGACCACTGACTGGGCTGGGTGCTTATTAGTTAAATGTTTTGTATTAAGTCCACATTGCCAAAGACAACAAAGTGAAACGTATATTTTCAGGACGTTAAAAGGAAAAACAGAAAATAGCAAATACTTTTAATGTTTACACTCAACTATTTGCAAAATTTTCATCTAAATTACAAAATGTTGTCCCTGTTTTCTTTGATATTATTCTTTTCTGAAGTCCAGAATACCTAGCTGGTTTGGAGAACTAGCTACCCATAGAGGTTCTCCAGGTTTGAATGGTTGGCACCTTAACTTCCTATGGTGACAGTTGAAGGTTGAGACCCCAAGGTTTCAGGGTTGACATTTTCTAATGGCTGATCAATTGGGCTCCCACATCCAAGGGAGACTTGAGGCTCCGTCGCACAGAGAGATGGAACCCCTTCCTCTTGGGTAACTTTAGCAGTTTGTAGTACTGATAGGGCCACTGAGAAGGAGAATATTTAAACTCATTAGTATGCTGCTATGAGCTTTGTTACTAGGCAATTATAATTAAAATGAACAAATCTGTGGCCTTGTGAACACTGTGTTTAATGAAGCTTGCAAGTAGAAATTTCTTTCTTCTATTTACTTCCAAATATCAAAACTAGACCTTCTTAAATAAGGCAGTAACTTTAGTCCAAAGAAAATGTGTCATAATACAGTCATGTATACAAAAAGATTAAACATGTACAAAAATCAGAAAGACAATACTGGTTTGATTCTAGCAGGAATGGATTTCTACTCTTCTACAATCTTTCTTTTACCAAAAATATGTCATTATGCAAAGGATACATTCACAAGTTTTAATTTTAGTACCTCTTCATCATTAAGTGGAAAGGTGATTAAATATTTAGCACTCACAGTTCTCTATGGAGTAGTTATTATCATCCCCATTATAAGATGAGGAAAAAACGCTAAGAAGGATTAAATAAATTGCCTAAGGAAACACAGCCAGAAGTGGCACAAATAGGATTCAAATTTATCTGGACTTAAAACATATTCTTTTTTTTCTTCTCTGTTTTCTCTCAATAAATAATTTTAAGATTGTTCTTATATGATAGATACTGCAAATAAATATTTATAGGCCACAAATAAAAATATGGTGCATTATTCTATGGATTAATTGACATGGCAAATTTACTGATACAATATATAAATAGGCAGTATGTACATCTAGAAAAGGAACTGACTAATAAGACCACTACTTTCCAGGAAAAATCTTCAAATGATTCTTAGAAAGTCATGGACTAGAAACTCCTGGCTGGAAAGACAGCATACTTCAAACTGAAGTAGGAAGGAAGGCTGTTACATTAAAATTCTTTGAATCATCATAGGCACATAAGACAAGACCTTACACCGGTCTTCTCTTGGATAATAATTGTTGCATTAATAAGCATGAAGAACAATTACCAAAATAATTCTTCTAAATGAATCTTATGTATGAAAACAGTAAAATAAAATTGAGCCAATATTCAATCCCCAGTACCCCCCTCAAAAAAAAATTGAGCTGAAAAATAGTCAAGATCTTGCAGAGTGATTCAACTGCATGACTTGTAGGGCTTGCACTTTAACCTGTACAAAACAAGGAAGGCTACGTAAGTTAGATTAAATAAGGCCCAGCAATGCAGAGAAGGTGAGAGAACCTTAGGAACTTGGGCATGAGATAATGAGCATTTGGTCTGATGGTACTGAGAATTAAAGTGAATATCTTTGCTCAAGGAGCATAGGAAATTTACTTCAAGAGTGAGTATAGTGTGTTTTATGAAAAGAGAGAAGGTTAGCACTCCCCTTGACAAGGATGGAGGAGGCCCTTGAGCCTGACAACAAGTGTTGCTTTTAGATCTATAGGACATAAGTGTGTACATACTGAATGGTTTCTCTAGTGTGAGAAACTGAAAATGTAAATAAGGACTAAAAGGTATAATGGATAATGTGAAATAGGAGGAAAAGGGGCAAAGGGGAAGGGAAAATGGTAAGGATAGGGAAAAGGAAAGAAGGGAATGGAATTAATATGAGAAAGTGAAAAAATGGACGCAAAGTCTTTGCCAATGGGGAGGGATGGAAGGGTTGAAGGGAGGGTAGGGGAATGGGGAAAAAATAAGAACCAAGATGGATTATGTAAAGATGAAAATTTCCAACAATGAATGTCATTATATTGTATAACTTAAATGTACCAAGAACAATTTTGAGTATAGCAATTATATTTGAATACAATGAAAATATTCCTGTTAGCAAATTTCTCTCACAATTAAAGATATGGAAACTAATATTAAAAAGGAATTTATTTAAATTTAAGAAATAAATGCTAAAGCAGTTTTTTTTACAAAAGACATTTATCATCATCAACACCCTATTTCTTTTCACATGTACACTATCATGTGCGTGATCTGCTTATGAAAACCTACAGTTTATATGAAAGTGTTTTCAGTCATTTAGCACAACATTTATTTAACCTATTTGAATCACAAATAAACATGGTAAATAAAATCTTAGGGAAAAAAGATAATTTCCTAACAGCATAAAATGAAAGGTTAAAAAAATAAATAATGACATCTTTTGGCTCTCTCTGATCTCTTTATACTGTCAAAAATAAACATGAGAAAAGTTTAGAATTATAAAATCAATTGTTATTTAGACTGAATGAAATTTAGACCTTTAAGTATTTGTTTTAATCTTGTCCTCTTACTATAATCACAATAAGGTAAACTGATTATATGCCCCAAGACAAGTCTAACAAAAGTACAAGTGCCTGGTAACTCTCCTCAGGCCTCTGACAGGACAGCCAGGGTAAAGAAACACCCAAAAGTCATCCACAGTTGCCCTTCAAAATCACGTGCAGCTATTTGTTACTTCATCTCCACAACAATGCATGTGTGACACAGGTCCAAGTCTCTTTGTAATCAACCAGGTGGCTGAGTCAAGTTGCAGGAAAACTAGGGTTTCAGGGCTTTGTTCAGCAGCTCAATTTTCATTTATCTGTTTATTAAACCAAAGTATGTAATAAGACTAACAATTATGTATTCAAAACCTATGATCATAAAAGATAGATGTCTTGTCTGCAATAAAATTTTAAACCAAAAAATAATTAAAAAGATGTTTCATACAGATGTAGAGTTTGAGTTTGTAGACTACTTCTTGTCAGCACAGTAACAGTCTCAGCATTAAGAGTTTATGTTTCTGAAAACAGAAAGGCTCAGAATATTCACGAATACACTGCAGCATATGGAATATAAATACTCTACTTACTACTTTGTTCAGATTTTATTTTAAACTTATTTTTCAATCCACAAAGGAAGCCAAGAGAAGCATTTATATGGGAACAGCACAAAAGCACAGGTAACAAATGCAAAAATAAAGACTGGCATAAGAATCAGCCCCAAACTAAAGGGAAATAAATTGTTGTCAAAAAAATAAGGAAAAAGTCTGGATTTTTCTACGTTTTTTACACTCATTCAGTTTATTGGTACATTTTAGATATATAATATGATTGCATTCATCATTGAGAATTTATACTTTTACATTGTTTTTATTTTCCCCATTCCCCTGTCCTCTCTTCAACACCTGTACCCATCCCTATTTACAAAGATTTTGTTGACATTTTTTCCTTTTCTCATATTTATTCATTTCTCTTCTTTCCCCTACCCCTCCCACTTCCACTCCCCCTACCCCTTTGGACCTTTTCTTCCTATTTCACGTTACCTATTATATATTTTATTTTTTATTATACATTGTGATCCTCATTTACACTTTCAATTTCTCACAGCAGAGAAACTATTCAGTATTTACACGTGTCCTATTTATTTCACTTAAGAGTATGGGCTCAGTGTGCATCCAGTGTGAAAAGAAAACAGCATTCATCTTTTCTCTTGCAATACCTCTCACCAGACACGTCAAATTTTAGTTTTGATACTAAATATCTGCCAATGTAGTAGGGCTAATGAGATCTATCTTTCTACCCATATATGTACTTATCTCCATAAATATTTAGTTTGAAATTCATAATATGCTATCATTCTTTGTGGTCACTTCTTAAGATGCCAGTGTTTCATTTTAAAAGTATAGAGACAGTGAGAAATTAAGGGAATAAAAAGAAGGGTCAGGAAAAATGTAACACAATAATAGTGACACAAAGGACACCAGGGAGCCATATAGAATTTTATGTATCTGGGAAAAGCCTGCAGTTTAGTTATTTAAGATAGATACATGCCTCTGCTCTCTCTGCACACATAGACAAGAAAGCAATACAATCAAGTCCTTAATGTTATTTAATAAGACTATACATGTTGCATAGCTACAAGACATTTCTGCAACTCATTTCAGTCATATGGAAAATCAATTTTATTGTACTATAATCCCTTTAGTTTCTTTTATCTCTAAAAGTCAAGAAATACAGACTAAAATTAAAGAGAATTTATTTTTTAATTGAATGCAGCAACTTTTATCTTAATTAATAAATACATTTTTCCAGAAAAAGAAGTATGTTTTCAATGTCAACTGTACTGTTCATCCATGTGTAAGAAACAAAGTATTTCTAAGGACACAAATACAAGTGTATGTCTGGTATGCCTTTGTATGTATGGTATTATTCCAAAATTATGTGCATATGCAAGTGCAAACTAAAGAGATAGCATATGAATATTATATGAATAGAAAAACCTATGCTTTCCCATAAATATTCAACAACCTTCATTCTGTGCAATATTTTACTGGGTTTGTAAAACATAAAAGACATAAATCCTGGAGGTCATTTACTTGCCTGCAACTAGCTGGAAGTTGGTTAAAATCACACATGAAAAATTGGCCTGGTCTTACTTTGCAATAGATGGGTTCGATAAAAAACATTAGGCTTATAGAATAATTTTATGGTAATATTTATTGACAATAATGCATTGTTAAAGTTGACTATTCATGACTTGCTATGTGTTGAGTTTAGAGTAGCAAAACATACGGGGAAATACCCCATTATCTATTGTGAGTTACACAGAGCTGCAGAATCTTGAACCAGGTGGCAGTCACAATAATTTCAGAATTTAATACTTGGGTTTGAAATTCCAGCAATTTCATTAATCAGGAATGAGATACTTACAGGTCCTCTGGACCACCACAGCACTGTAGGTGATACATTTAAAGATGTAAAGGGAAACATCCTGGAACAGCTTGCCTTGATTAGAACTCTATATAGGATATTTTCTCACTAAAAAATAGAACAAGCTACTTACTCTCTCTCTCTACCTTAATACTGCCATATTTGAAAAGGGAGTGACAGTATTCTTCACCTCATGGAGTAGAAGCCACTGTGTGCTTAGAAAAGTGGCTAACACAGAGCAAGCGTGTGATATACATCTGATGTCTGTATTTCCATTTACTGTCCAGCATCATGCTCTACGGAGTCCTGAGAGCTCTTGTTTTTAGTTTCCTTTTTGGAATCTTTATCTATTCGCTATGTCTTCTTACTCTATAGCTTTCTGTGATGCAGTAACACTTGACAATATTTCTACACCTGTATTTTTCACTTGTAATGAAAAAATTAATTCATTCAACAAATAGGTATTGATTAAATATTACGTGCCTCATAGTATTCTAGACACTGAGGACACATGAACGCAGTATTAAATGAAGATTCACACAATGGAAAAAGTAATAATATAGAACTATGAATGGTCAGTTATTCAGTAAATTGACAGTTGAGCAGAAACCTATAGAAGAAAGCCAGTAATGCAGGATGATGAATTTTTAGAGGAAAATAGCAGAAAGTAAAAATGCCCTTTAGCAGAATTTTGTTGTGTGTTTAGAACATCGCAGAATCCATAATGCCCCACTGATCATGCCCAAAGCAGGCTGTAAGCGGTGCAGACTGTAACGGAAGAGACAAAGCATTCTTATTTTGGGTTGGGAACAGAATTTGGATGAGTAATTCTGACCCTGGCTGTGTGTTATCTCATATTAAGCCCATAGCTTCACAGGTCATTTCTCTGGTCTCTTCCATGGCTATGGGGCGGGGTTGCGGATAGTGGCCCCAAGCCACAATTCTCCTATGAGTCTCATAAGCTTTGGTTGGACTCACTTCTTAGGACATGGCAATTGTGGGGTTACTCTTATATTGTAGCCTGCATTGCTCCCAGTCTGCTTTGGGGATAATCAATGGGGTGGTTTTTCCCCCAATGATGAGGCTACAGGAGATGGCATCATACTGAGTTTTCAAAGATATATGACTTGAAAGTCAAGGCAGTGTAAAGCTATTGAAGCATTTGTGAAAAGGAGAGGAATGATTAAATATGGTAATGCAAAACAATAAAACTTTCACCACATTACACATAGATTATAGGAGGGCACATGCTAAGGCAGTTAGAAGGTTATTGAAGTTACTTTGATAAGAAGTGATGGTATTTTGGACATGGAAAGCAATGATGAAGATGGAAAAATAATTTGTATTCTTCATTTAAAACATTTGAGAACAGAACCAACAGGGTCAGGGTGAATAAGGGTTCACAGATTAGATGTAAGAAAGGCATGTTAATAACTTCAATGACTTTAATATCTGAAGGGATATTATTTATTTTTAATGAGATTGGGAAATTTTAAGTTATACAGAGTTTGAGAAATCAGGGATAATCAGTAGAATGTGAATGTGAACTTGTTTAGATTTCAAATGACATACTTATGCGTCAAAATCAAATGGGTTTAAGGGTAGGATGTTTAGATATAGTTACTATGGGGTGGGCTTGTACATATTTTGGGTGAGACCCTTACTTTTTTTCATGGACTCCATATTTCTAGTCACTTCTCATTACATCTCTGCAATTACTATGATGAATAATAAGAATGCTTTCTTTTCCATCCCATCCAAAAAGGTACTACTAGTAGAGATATAAGTGTCTA